GAGATGAAAAGTGGAAATAGTTTAAATATCAAGGTACTGTATCTTAACGGTGACCAGCTCTGTTTAAAAAAAATCCATATCTACTCTCATACCGTTTGTTAATCACACATTCTCTACCAAAGCTCTCGTATGGGCAGCAATTACAAGACAGCACAGAGAAGCAGGGGGAAATGTTATAGGGGTATTTCGACATATATAGGAATGCTCAACTCTGTTCTCTTATATTGAGGCGGAGTTGAGTATTGATAACTGGTCGCACGCTTTGCTCGCAAGAACATTTTGTCACCATCAGTCGATACTTGTAAAAATGACAATACTGAATACGCTTACCTATGTTTGTCCTGTACAACCCCTTCCGCTGAGTGCTGAAATTCATACTTTTAATAACCTTTATTAAATACAACCACTGACTTTTTCCTCATTTGCATTGCTCAACTCAGCGTGAACACACTTATAATAAATACAAATAAATACAACATTTTGTCGATTTATGTTGTCTAAATTGCTGCTGGGTAATTTGTTCGTAGGCGTCAAATTGAGCGTATACTGCGCAGGTTCACTGAGTTGCTAACCACCGGTCTAGTTTTTTTCTAAAGCAGCTATGATGTGTAGATCTGAAGTAGGTGCTACCTCAGATTGTGAGCCCAGAGAATGTAGCGAAAGAGGCAAGTAGTACCTGTAGGTGGCCATGGAGAGGGGCAAGAGCGCTATAAACCCATACTGTTTTAGTGTTGATCAGATTATCAAAAGTAAAGGGTTGCTATACCTGGTGACTGAGTAATCCTAACTGAAGTAGCATTTACTCAACTGCAAGATTTAAGTAATAATATTAATTCATGTTATTATTTATATCCATAAAATAACAATTTAAACCCATAAAAATAAACCATGAAACGGATGGGCCATAAACGTAAATCAACATACATTTTGTTAATTTACTTTATTTAAAACACTTTTTCTGAATTTGGGTAACATTATCTGCCAATTTAACACACACCCAAACACACACACACACACACACACACTGGAAATTAGCTCATTTTTTTATAAATATTTGAATAGCAAAAAACTATTATTCAATAAAAAGCATCTTGGAAACTATTTATAATGGTGTATTGTGATTAAATGAAGTAATACTAGCTTGGTACAGATACTCAAATTTGAACCTCCAGTCCACTTCTAATTTTACTTTTTACATGATAGTAACTTGGTGCCCCTGGTCTAAATCACTCCCGGAATAAAAGGCAAGATTGAAAATCAGCAGTGGTACAGGAAATGAGTATCCTCAAAAAGAGTAAGTCCAAGTGGAGGCAGCGGTGGAAAGGGTGAAGCATTGAGAGTGGGGGAAAAGTGGGGCAGCAGGGAAGCATTGGCACGTATTCATGGATGCAGTGGCAGAGGAGCCTTGAAGGGCCGACAGGGCAGGAGATTCTGTGCTGATCCAGTTGAGGGCATGTCACAGGAAGGGTGGGCCCAAGAACATCACTGTCTTAGGAGGGGGAATTTGTGAACAACAGAGTGACATTCCCTCAAATTGATGCCCTCCTACGGACTGACGAGGACTTCAGAGAAATTGCAGATGAAGGGCATCATCTCGGGCCTTCACCTCTGGTCGAAAGGTCTTTGGGCATGGTCAGTGGGTTCCCATTAGACTACATGCATCTTGTCTACCTGGGTGTCATGAGGCAACCACTGGCCTGCAGGCTCTCGGGATTTCAGGTGAGGACACTCACTGAAAAACTCCTTAAGATCAGGACAAGTGTGGCAGTGGAGTTTACACGAAGGCAGAGGTCCCTAAAGGAGCTAGACCAATGAAAAGCATACACATTTCGACAGTTCTTGCTCTTTACCGGTCCTGTGCTCCTTAAAGACCTCCTACATACCGCAGTGTACCAGCACTTTTTGCTTCTCTTTGTTGGAGTGTTCATCCTGTCGAACAAGGCACTGCTTGAGGAGTACACAGACTATGGGAACGAGGCTCTTGTGTTGTTTGTTCAGCACTTTGTGGAGCTGTATGGCATGATGTCCCTCTCTTATAATGTCCACAACCTTGTGCATCTTGCACAAGACGTCAGGGTGCATGGGGACCTGGACTCCTTCAGTGCCTTCAGGTATGAAAATGTTTTGCAAAAGTTAAAGAAGCTTGTGAGAAAACCAGGATCTCCCTGTAGTCAGGTTGTAAAGAGGCTTTCAGAGGAAGTGGATGTGAAAGTGTCTGCACTCACTTCTGTCATCATGAAGTGCTTTGAGAGACTAGTCAAGGATCAAATCACCTCCACCTTACCTGTCACCCTAGACCCACTTCAATTTGCATACCGCCCCAATAGGTCCACAGATGATGCAATTGCCATCACACTGCACAATCCCATCTGGACAAGAGGAAAACCTATGGAAGAATGCTGTTCATTGACTATAGCTCAGCATTCAACACCATAGTACCCTCCAAGCACATCAAGCTTGAGGCCCTGGGTCTCAACCCCGCCCTGTGCAATTGGGTCTTGGAATTCCTGACGGGCCACTCCCCAGGTGCTGAAGGTACGAAACAAAATCTCCACTTCGCTGATCCTCAACACTGGGGCCCCACAAGGGTGTGTGCTCAGCCCCCTCTTGTACTCCCTGTTCACCCATGACTGCGTAGCCATGCATGCCTCCAACTCAATCATCAAGTTTGCAGACTACACAACAGTAGTAGGCTTGATTACCAACAACGATGAGACAGCCTACAGGGAGGAGGTGAGGACTCTCGGAGTGACGTGTCAAGAAAATACCCTCTCACTCAACATCAACAAAACAAAAGGAGATGATTGTGAACTTCAGGAAACAGCAGAGGGAGTACCCCCCTATCCACATTGATGGGACAGCAGTGGAGAAGGTGGAAAGTTTTAAGTTCCTCGGCGTACATCTCACTGACAAACTGTGAAGAAGGTGCAACAGCGTCTCTTCAACCTCAGGAGGCTGAAGAAATTTGGCCTGTCACCTAAAACCCTCACAAACTTTTACAAATGCACAATTGAGAGCATCCTGTCGGGCTGTATCACCGTCTGGTACGGCAAATGCACCGCCCACAACCGTAGGGCTCTCCAGAGGGTGGTGCAGTCTGCACAACGCATCACTGGGGGCAAACTACCTGCCCTCCAGGACATCTACAGCACCCGATGTCACAGGAAGGACAAAAAGATAATCAAGGACAACTACCACCCGAGCCACTATCATCCAGAAGGCGAGGTCAGTACAGGTGCATCAAAGCTGGGACCGAGAGACTGAAGAAAAGCTTTTATCTCAAGGCCATCAGACTGTTAAACAGCCATCACTAGCACAGATGCGCTGCTGCCTACATACAGACTTAAAAAATCACTGGCCACTTTAATAAATGGAACACTAGTCACTTTAATAATGCCACTTTAATAATGTTTACATATCTTGCATTACTCGTCTCATATGTATATACTGTATTCTATACTATCGTAATAATGTGTACATATCTTGCATTACCCATCTCATATGTACAGTATATACTGTATTCTATACTTTCTATTGCATCTTAGCCTATGCCGCTCTGACAATGACATTGCTCATCCATATATTTATATATTCTTATTGCATTCCTTTACTTAGATTTGTGTGTATTAGATATGTTGTGGAACTGTTAGATATTACTTGCTAGATATTACTGCACTGCCGGAACTAGAAGCACAAGTATTTCGCTACACTCGCAATAACATCTGCTAACCATGTGTATGTGACAATACATTTGATTTGATTTGATTTGAAAGTGCGGCGAGTGGAAAGTTTGGGTGCATGGAGAGAGCACACATCGGGGCCTCTGCCACCATCTTTTCATTGTGCACGACAGTACCATCTTGATGTCCTCCCGTAAGCCTCTCCCGAAGGCCGTGCGCAGAGTACGCTCATTCCAGCCGGAAGACGCCGCCACTGTGCGAAAGCTCAGAGCGTACTCGGACGCGGGCCCCTCTCGAGTACGCGGGCCCCTCTCTGTGTTGTAGATGGAGGAGACAATCACCCCCGTCCTTTCCCTCCGTGGGATGATCAAACACCGCCCTGAACCTAGCGAGGAAGGTGGGGTAGGGAAGTGCCACTGCCTCCTCTCCTTCCCAGACTGCCATGGCCCAATCGAGCGCCTTTCCTTTAAGAAGCGAAACCACCAGCGCTATCCTGGCTTGGTCTGATGGATATGCCCCAGGCTGACGCGCCAGATAAAGGGAAACCTGTAGCAGGAAGCCGCTACATTTAGTAGTTTTACCGTCATAGCATTCCGGTAGGGCGAGGGTTCCCGCAGGAGTGGGTGATAGCACGGGAACAGGTGGATTGGGGGCACTCACCGCTTCCTGAGGTGGAACCGGAGCGCTGGGCAGATTATGCAGAGTTTGGAGCACTTCCTGCATGGCGGTGTTCAACTGGGCAAGCTGCTGCTGGTGCTGGTCGAGGCAATGGGAATCTCCTGCTGCATCCATTTTCGTTTGGTGTGTGATTCTGTGACGAGTACTGAGTATACGGAGAGGCAGGACGCAGACGCAGGAATTAACAAGGTCAAGGTTTACTTAACAATGATAAAGAGAAATAACAAAGAAAGAGTCAACGACACGAAGCTAAACAATCACACACAACATCATACAGAACAGCCCTGGGCTAAATAGGGGTGGTGATGAGATGCAGGTGCACTGGAGGTGATTAGGGTGCATTGGGTTTCCATTCCGGTGTTGCCGAGGTGGTGCGCTCAGACCAGTGGCTCAGTAGACCAACGGGAGGAGACGTGACAAAGATGCAATACGTCTAAAATTGCTCATTAGCTATCTAGCTAATTCTGCACCAATGCAATGTGCAATGTTAGGCTAGCTATGTAAACACTCCAAAACCAGACTGCAACAGAAAACCTGCAGACACTGTGGGTCTCCAGGACCAGGACTGAAGAATAATGTTCTAATCTATCTGTTGTTGAATCTCTCTAGCTGTCTAACTCTTCTCTCTCCAAAGCCACAGGTATCACCACCCGGTCTGATAATGGTCCTACTCGAGATGCCAACAACCCAGTGGACAACCGTCATGCTCCACCTGGGCAGAGGACGGTGGGGGACAAGATGAAGACGAACCAGGAAAACGATGAAGAGGATTCGAACGACACCAACTATGAATAGGTGCTTGTTTATACATAACACCCAAGGACAAGCTCAGACAAAGCTCAGCTCACAACGTATTGTAACATATATCTCTCTCCTCTGTCTCTCAGTTCAACAGCTATGCTGGCAGTCTGTCTCCAGTGGGCCCTATGAGAAAGACGACGAGGACGCTACTCTGGACGAGGATGGATGAACGATGTAAGGAGAGGAGGTGAGAGAAGACAGACGTGTTCATTAGTGTCTAGTTTTGTGTGTGTTGTTGCTCCTGAGGGCTGTGCGTGTGTGTTACTACTGCTCTGTTGTGTTAACCCTGCCTGTCCTGTGTGGACCCCAGGGAGCTGAGGGAGAAGGATGAGATGAAGAAGTACCGTATGGAGCACCCCAAGGTCCAGCAGCAGTTCTCTGACCTCAAGGTTGGTCACTGTGTTTCCATGGCCACAGAGTCAACTCTCCTCTACTCTCTCCGAGCAGTCCTAACTTTAAATCTGCCAAAAACACATTTTCCATCTCTTAATGGACTTCTCTCTCTCTCTCTCTCTCAATTCAATTCAATTCAATTCAATAGACTTTATTGACATGGCAAGTAAAATTACTTACATTGTCAAAGTATACATATAACAAAAATGGTGGGACCAACAGCAATAATAATAGTAGTAGTGGAAATGGGACTACCATTAACAGCAACTACAACAACAATATTAATGAGAATAACAATACATTAAAGCAATAGTAGTCGACCAATCTCAACATGACTGAGAAGACACATTACCTGCTATGAAAGCCAAAACAAAACAGGAAATATTATTGACATTACATTACACTTTTCACTGGCTGTCCCTCAGGTTGTGGCAGGAGGACACATATTTGGCTGCCAAAATTGCACATTTTGGCTTTTCACCCAATGAATATTTGATTTTTTCTTCCTCTTTTATAGTTTCAAATTCTTTGTACTGAATGATAATTTTGGGAAAGAAAGATTCTCTTAGGTCTGAGTATTTGTCACAGTGTAGTAGGAAATGCAGCTCTGTCTCTACCTCTCCCCGGGGGCAGAGTGAGCACAGCCTGTACTCTCTGGGCAGCCAGGTTTGCCTGTGACGACCGGTCTCTATAGCTAGACTGTGCTCACTGAGTCTGTACCTAGTCAGTGTTTTTCTCAGTTTTCTATCAGTCACAGTGGTCAGATAGTCTGCCACCATGTACTGTCTGTTTAGAGCCAAATAGCATTGAAGTTTACTTTGATTTTTTGTGGTGTCTTTCCAACAGGTGATATATTTTTCTTTTTGCTTTGTGATGATTTGGTTGGGCCATATTTTCTGAGTGCTGTGCTGAGGCTCTATGAGGTTGGTTTTGGTTAGTGAACTGAGCCTCAGAACCAGCTGGCTGAGGGGACTCTTCTCTTGTTTCATCTCTTGACATAGTAGAGCTGTGTGATGGAATGTTTTGGGGTCACTTGTTTTTAGATGGTTGTAAAATTTGATGGCTCTTTTTTCTATTCGAATAAGGAGGGGGTATTGGCCCAATTCTGCTCTACATGCGTTATTTGGAGTTTTTCTTTGCACTTGCAATACAGTCTTGCAAAACTCTGCATGCAGTATTTCGATTGGATGTTTGTCCCATTTGGTATATTCAGTATTAGAGAGCGGACCCCATACTTCGCTGCCATAGAGAGCAATTGGTTCTATAACTGATTGGAACATTTTGAGCCAGATTCTAATTGGAATTTCGATTTTAATATTCCTTTTAATGGCATAGAATGCTCTTCTTGCTTTGTCTCTCAGCTCATTCACAGCCATGTGAAAGCTACCTGTGTTGCTGATATTTAGTCCTAGATATGTGTAATTTTTGGTGTGTTCTAATAGAACTGTGTCCAAATAGAATTTATATTTGTCATCCTGATTTCCGGACCTTTTTTGGAATATCATTATATTAGTTTTTTTTAGATTAACGGTCAGGGCCCAGGTCTGACAGAATCTGTGCAGATGATCTAGATGCTGCTGTAACCCCTCCTTAGTAGGAGACAGTAGCACCAGGTCATCTGCGTACAGCAGACACTTGATTTCAGTGTTGTGTAGGGTGAGACAAGGTGCTGCCGATTCTTCTAATGTTTTTGCCAATTCGTTAATGTAGATGTTAAATAGTGTTGGACTTATTGGGCAGCCCTGTTTCACTCCACGTCCCTGAGAGAAGAAGTCTGTTTGCTTGTTGCCGATTTTAATCGCACATTTGTTTTTAGTGTACATTGATTTAATAACATCATATGTTTCTCTCTCTCTCTCTCTCTCTCTCTCTCTCTCTCTCTCTCTCTCTCTCACACCCTCTCTCTCTCTCTCTCTCTCTCTCTCTCTCTCTCTCTCTCTCTCTCTCTCTCTCTCTCTCTCTCTCTCTCTCTCTCTCTCTCTCTCTCACACTGTAGAGGAAGCTGTCAGGAATGTCAAAGGAGGAGTGGCTAAGTATCCCAGAGGTTGGCGATGCCAGGAACAAGCTCCAGAGGAACCCTCGCGATGAGAAACTCACCCCTATACCAGACAGCTTCTTCTCCAAACACCTGACCACAGGAGTCAAGCACACCACCGTGGACCCACTGCAGGGGGTTAGTACACACACATACACACACATAAACACACACACACACACACACAAACACATTGGGTTTGGGCAAGATGGCCAAAATATCATATCACAATATTTTTCTCATTTTTGACAGCATGGTGGTATTTTACGGTGTTTAAATGTTCTGAATATTACAAGTTGAGTTATGAATGAATACAGTTTTTCATGATTGCTAAGACACTTTTAATGAAACTGGGCGTCCACTTGATCTCCATCATAACCTAATGAGTGTAACAGTATTATATATTTTGCAAAACTGTATTTAATTTCTCGTTGCCTTCATACACAAATGTTAAGCACATTTTTGCAAAACAGTAAACACAACTCTCTACAAAAGACGCAAAACTCAGTTAAGTAAATCATGACGAACAAAATAAAAACATTTGGTCACAGCTGATACAAATTACTCTCATGAATGTGAACATCTTCTGCACGTGTGCCAAACTTCTTTGCACAATTGTTCAAGCAGCAATCAGTCCTTATTCATGCATAAAAGAGGTCACCTCTGAGTTGCTGTTTGCAAGAATGGACCAAGTAAGAGGCAGAGGGCAAGGACAAGGACAAAGGAGAGGTAGAGGGGCCCATAGAGGAAGTTCAGCTCTCAGTTACAATGGAAAAAGATACAATTAGCCTTTGGTTTCTGGATATTCAGGCTCTTGAGTGACATTCTTTCTTCATTAGTCATCTTTGGTAAAAAAAAGAATACAGCCCATTCTGTGATAATGTGTTTACTTGCCTTTTATAGTGCATACTATAATTATAGTATCAACAAATGGCACAGACATATAAAAGAGGGTTAACCATGGTAGGGTATATTGATAGTTGGAGTTAGTATTTATTGGGCCATTGTGCAACGATTGATTGAAATAACTTTTCATTAGATAACAAGTTGTATGTTTTGATGGAGGTAGTTGATTTTGTGTCATGTATTTCATGTTTTGAGAGTCTTAATGCGTTTTGCAAATGAATTGTGTCATTTTGGCCGACGTGGTTCAGTTTGGGGCTGTGTGTTAATTGTTTAGAAAAAGTTAATTCTGTTTGGACAAATGTGCTCAAGCAATCAAGAAACTGTAATGGTCTTTCTCCAATCTGATGGTATTATACTCAACCAAACTACGACAAAACTGACAGTGAAGTGGTCCAATTTGTAGAACTTTCCATTTATCAAAATACCTTTATAGATTGTATTGTAAAAACCATACGGGTATGTGGGCCCATACCGGTATATCGGTATTCACGATATATCGCCCAGCCCTAACACAAATACTCTCTGTCTCTCTCACACAGTTTTGTCACATGTTGCAGTTTCATTATGTGCCAGTAGGAGCCAGCTTCTACCACTGAAACATTCTCCATATCCTCCCCATGCCAAAAAGTCAAGCCTATTGTTTTTTATCCATCCACATATTTCTTTCTTACAGTTGAACCTCCCAGGTGGTCTGGAAAGCCCATACCCCGGGGGCATGACCCCTAGCCTGATGACCCCTGGGACAGGAGAGCTGGACATGAGGAAGATTGGCCAGGAACACACTGATGGACATGAGGTTCAGCCAGGTAACACACCACTTAGGCCTACTGACTTAAAATATTGTGTCTAGTTTGACTGTTATGCACCAACCTAAATGCTATGGAAGGGACTGGTCAGATGCTATCAAATGCTATCAGATGGTATCAAAAGTTTCCAGTAAGCATGTTATGCCAGTACCACTTTTCCTGGTATGTGCTGATCTCCTCTCCTCCATCTCTCCCCTCTCAGGTGTCTGACTCAGTGAGTGGACAGACGGTGGTGGATCCTAAAGGTTACCTCACTGACCTCAACTCTATGATCCCCACACGGAGGAGACATCAGGTGAGTAGCCCCAGGGCTGGCCTGACTACCCTGCATTAGATTATCAGTCTAGGCCTCTCTGTCTGTAACCTGCACAGTACTTATGATATACTGTACCTCAAATTGCTTTACCTCATTGGTGATGACGATTGATTGATATGACTGCTAGGCTCCAGATTCAAGTAGAATTTGGCATCAAAACCGTCCACTAGAGGCAAAAATAAATGTTCCTTACATTTTACCCCCATGTGGGCAAGCCCCTTAGCAATTTGAGTTTCAGCCAATTAGCTTCAGCCCCTCGCCATTTGAGTGACTGCTAGCTAGATGCAGACACAGCAGAGCGAGAGATCAATGACGTGATGCACATATATGCACAAAATATGCAATTTTCAGGGACCACTTTTGGCTCGTGAGCACTACTTTCAGAAGTACTGGCTAAAAAGTATACAAATGTACCAGATAATCTCTTAACCCTTAACATAACCCAGTCTGAATAAATGCTTTACAACCGTAGAGTTGTTTCTGTGTGCCTAAAACTTCTGGAGCTCATGAGGGAGCTGTGTGCCTAAATACAGGACGTCGCCATTAGGGTCAACAGTGTATTGTATGCTTGGGTTTTGCTAGGGCATTGTGGATGGGGATGGCTGATGGGCGTAAGCCATGAGCTCCGGCTCCGAGGATTTGTGTGTTCAATCCCAGTAATAGGCACTTGTTTTTGCAACTTCTAAATTTGACGTTTGGAGAAAGGTGGAAAAACGTCTAATTCTGCAGTGAGACTGAGAGCTTATTGTCTGCTATTGAGCTTGGACTATTGATAGAAGGAAAGGAAGACTGAGAGAAGAGGGAAATAAATAGTTAAACAGACCAACGCTCCAGTTCAATTCGTTTCTTATCCCAAATGACACTTCTAGTTATGACACACCCCTATTTACACCCCGTCATGGTGTCAGTGGCTTGGGAGCCCTGCTCCATTACACAAGAACGCACACACACAAACAGTGGTGTTCCCAGCAGCATACCTCTGTGACAGAGATGGATGTTGTGCTTCCTATGAAAGTGTTAGCAGCCTACATGTCTGGGCTGCCCTCTGTCTGTATTTCACCAGAGAAAGAAAAAAGCCTTCTGTGTTTCTCCATCACGGTGTGCCTCTCCAGACTATGAGGCAATGTGTTGATATTAGCATGATAATTGCCATAATTACATTATGAAATCAAGTGTTTTTGCAGTGATGTGAGTCAAGTCAAGCACAGGGCTGCAGAGCTGAATCAAACACTGGCTTGATCATGGTACACAGTGTGTGTGTGTAACCCCATCTCTATATCTGTCCAACAGCTCTGGAGAATGTATCTAAGTCTGTGCGTCTGTGGAAGACTGCTGTAGAGCTGGAGGAGCCAGAGGATGCCAGGATCATGCTGAGCAGATCTGTGGAGTGCTGTCCAACCAACGTGGAGGTACACACACCCACAGTTATATTGTGTAGTATTCTCATGAAGACCCAGTCTCATACAATTCTGTCTTCCCTCACCATCCTGCCCCCTCTTCCCCCTCCCTCTATCCCTGTGTAATTGTGGCTGGTGCGGTTGGATCGTATGAGAACGCTAGACGTGTCGTGAACAAGGACCAGGATGAACATCCCAATGGACTGTCACATCTGGATCACTGCCGCCAAGCTGGAGGAGGCCAAAGGGAACACTCAAATGGTGGAGAAGACCATCGACAGAGCCATCACATCACTCAGGGCCAACGGGGTCGAGATCAACAGAGAATAGTGGATACAGGTACGAGGGGTTGAGGGAGTGTATGTGTGTAGTGGTGAGAATCTAGAGCAGGAAACACAGGTGTGCGTCAAAGTGCTGTGTGACCCACTTCCAGCTCTTGGTATTTTTCTGTGACCCACTGAATAAACAAAACAGTCTCCTGCAGCCATAAACCAAAAGCCTTCCGCTGCAACCCAGCATTTTCTAAACTTCTAATCCAGTCTTATGTTGACAATTCTCTTCACCTTTTACCCAAATGTTTTCTGTGTTGCCCCTGACATCACTCTGTAAAAGGATACTACAGTCACTCCCTCTCTTCAGAGGTGCTGGCATGAAAGAGTAATCTGCAGCACAAAACAAGCAGCGGTGGACTGCACTCAAACACTGCACAGTGTGTGTGTGTGTGTGTGTGTGTGTGTGTGTGTGTGTGTGTGTGTGTGTGTGTGTGTCAGTTGCTCACAAGGGTACTGCAGGTCAGTGACTGATGTCTTACAGAGCTCTGTGCAGTTCTGTGCAAATCACCTCAACCTCACTTGCACTTACTGTTTCGCAACCAGGACTTTGACCGCAATTATCTCTCAAATTCCTTTCCTTCTTTTATTTATTCTTCTTTTCCCTCTGGCCTTTCTTGGCTCTAAAGTAAAGTGGATGTACAGTGGCCCATCTACTGTTCTCTGACACAGGGATGGAAGTTACAGTATATTGGAGTGCACAGGGGGGAAATTTTGAGCACAGGGAGTTCGCACTGCAGAGCCAGATCAAACACTGGCTTGATCCATCTCATATGAGAAAAGATCATGTCATAATTCTCCCTCAGCACAGTTTATTTAAAGGTCTACCCACCAATAAATCAGAGATGATTTAAGATGTCCAGTTTAGGATCCCTGCTTGTGTTTTGTAAGAGGATGGGGGACATGATGTTGCCATATACAGTGGGGGAAAAAAGTATTTAGTCAGCCACCAATTGTGTAAGTTCTCCCACTTAAAAAGATGAGAGAGGCCTGTAATATGGCCAGTCTCCAGATCTCAACCCCATAGAACATCTTTGGAGGGAGTTGAAAGTCCGTGTTGCCCAGCGACAGCCCCAAAACATCACTGCTCTAGAGGAGATCTGCATGGAGGAATGGGCCAAAATACCAGCAACAGTGTGTGAAAACCTTGTGAAGACTTACAGAAAACGTTTGACCTGTGTCATTGCCAACAAAGGGTATATAACAAAGTATTGAGACACTTTTGTTATTGACCAAATACTTATTTTCCACCATAATTTGCTAATAAATTCATTAAAAATCCTACAATGTGATTTTCTGGATTTTTTTCTCTCAATTTGTCTGTCATAGTTGACGTGTACCTAAGATTAAAATTACAGGCCTCTCTCATCTTTTTAAGTGGGAGAACTTGCACAATTGGTGGCTGACTAAGTACTTTTTTCCCCCACTGTAAATCACTCTGTAGTTTTATAGGCCTCTTCACTCAAGTGGCTTCACCATTCCACTGGCCTGCCTGACTGTGCAAGGCATGGGTCAAAAGTTCTCTCTCTCTCTCGTTCTCGCTCTCGCTCGCTCCCCCCCATGCTCAACAGTGAGCACTATTACCATCAAGTACTGCATGCTTGGGTTTTGCTAGGGCATTGTGGATGGGCGTAAGCCATGAGCTCCGGCTCCGAGGGTTTGTGTGTTCAATCCCAGTAATAGGCACTTGTTTTTGCAACTTCTAAATTTGACGTTTGGAGAAAGGTGGAAAAACATCTAATTCTGCAGTGAGACTGAGAGCTTATTGTCTGCTATTGAGCTTGGACTATTGATAGAAGGAAAGGAAGAGTGAGAGAAGAGGAACATAACTCCTCCTTCTGCTCCTTCTCTCTATATTCCTCTCAACTCCCCCTCCCTCCTGGCCTTCCTGTCAACGTCCCCCATCCATTTCAAATGTTTCTCCCTCTTCTTCTCCCTCCCCTCCCTCAAGTCTTTTCATTTTCCCTCCCCTCCTCACCCCTCTCTGTCCCTCCTTCAAACCCTTCTTTAACACTCTCTCCCTCTTTCTGCCCCTCCCTCCTCGTCTCCAGTGTGCGGAGGAGTTTGACAAGGTAGGCAGCATGGCAGCGTGCCAGGCGGTGATCCGGGCGATAATTTGAATCGGCATCGAGGAAGACTGTATACACACCTGGATGGAGGGTGCAGAGAGCATAAGAATGACCTTTCACCTTTCATTCACCTGTGACCTCTCACTACCCCAGGCCCAAATATCCCAAATACCCAATACTCAGATGACTTTAGGAACATATGGTTTGATACATTATCTGTAATTCGTTTTTATTTCAATGTCTTCCACGGGGTGTTGGTGTGTGTTGTAGTGGAGTGTGTAACGTAACTGTTGTTGTGTTTCAGTGTGTGTCCCATGGGACGCTGGAGTGTGCCCTTGCCATCTATGCCCATGCCCTGCAGATGTTCCCCAGCAAAATGAGTGTGTGGCTCAAGGCAGTTTACTTCGAAAAGAACCACAGCGCCAGGTGTGTGTGTGTGTTGGAAACAGACTAAGTTGAATCAAATGACTTTGCCTATTGATTACTACATGCATTGTAAACCAGAGTATCTCGGAGTGGATATCTTCACTGTGGCAATTTGTTATTGGCAGGTGACTCAATAGAAGCCAATTAATTTGATTGGTCGCTTATCTAGGTGTCCGTCTTGTGTTAATGTATGGATAATAGTGATTATATACACCCTCTTAATGATCCCGTTTGCTTAGTTGTGATCAATCACTGTTTCAAAGCCTCTCTTATCTCTCATACTCTCTCAATTACTTACTAAATCTCTCACTCTTCCCCCTCTTCCGCACCTGGTTTATTCTCCCTCTATCTTTCCCCACATCTCCCTCTAACTCCCGCTTTTCTCTTTCGTTATCACCTCCTTTCTACCTCTCCATACTATCTAAATCCTCCCTCCCTCCCTCCTTGTTACCCCCCCATCTCAGTGAGTCTCTGGAGGCGCTGCTGCAGAGGGTGGTGGCTCACTGTCCCAAGGCTGAAGTCCTGTGGCTGATGGGGCCAAGTCCAAGTGGCTGGCTGAGGACGTGCCTGCTGCCTGCAGCATTCTGGCTCTGGCCTTCCAGGTGAGAGAGGAACAATGAGCTTGCTAGAATGAGTAAACATGCTTATTCCAACGTTATCTTTCTTCATAACAATAGGGTACACATCAAAGTCCAAACCAAGATTTGGTACAAGTAAAACACCTTTCTCCCTTTGTGTCCAGGCTAACCCTAACAGTGAGGAGATATGTCTGGCTGCTGTGAAGCTGGAGTCTGAGAATAATGAATATGAGAGAGCCCGTCGGCTACTGGCGAAGGTCGTAGCAGTGCTCCTACTACCAGGGTGAGTGTGCTTGGGTGTGTGAGTGAGCGGACGGGAATGAGCGGGTGTGTGATGGAGGATATATAAGATGGTGTGTGCACGTTCACATGTGTGAGCGTTGACAGGGATTTGAGTTGAGTGATGAGGTTATAGCTGCTCCTCTGTATGTAGCTATAACCTTTAACTGTTAGCCTCAGCCAAGACTCCTCTACTGCTACAATGAGGTGAATCAGAGCGAGTCAGATAGTCATCCATCTTAATTTGCACAACATCAGTGGCGACGGCGGGTTAAAGAAGAGATTGAGGGCCCCAAGGGGATATTTAGCCTAGTCAGAATGGCCCAATGGGAGATAGATATAATATACAGTAAGCCTATAACCGCGCACACAGTTTCCTCAGTCATTTACTATAAAAGGTCAATTTCAATCTGGAAGCTGGTGGCTGTGCTAGGTGTGTAGGGGTTGACTCTCAGTCAGGCAGAACAGCAGGAATTGGTAAGGGTGAGATGGAGATGGACTTGACCTCAGATAGACTCTTGTTTTGGGAGGAAGTATTATATAAAGTTAATGGGGCGTTATACAATAGGAGTCTTCTCCATACATCCATGCCCAGGCTTGCTAGATTCACAACTAGATGGGAAACCACCATAGTGCTGTCTGTCACCGGGAAATCGATCAATGCCCTTGTTTGGCAAGAAAAGCCGAGGTTGACTGCTGTATTCAGCATATTATTTCCTTGCCAGACAAAGTAACAATGTGATGTTGTTGAATGTTGAAGGCAGAAACTGTCATGGATTGAGGCTATGCCTGAGGATGTTGGCACTGGCAGGCTTGAAACATTATATGAATTATGTTTTAAAAATGGCTGTCTGACATGTTGTCTTTATATTGGGAGGGAGGTAGCTCAGTTGGTAGAGCATGGCGTTTGCAACACCAGGGTTGTGGGTTCGATTCCCACGGGGGGCCAGTATGAAAAAAAAAAAAAAGAATAATGTATGCACTAACTGTAAGTCGCTCTGGATAAGAGCGTCTGGTAAATGTAAATATTGCCTACTCCTGTCCCATAAATGTATTTGTTTGTTATTTCTTTGCATGCTTTTATTCAGATTGAAATGTTGTTACTGAGGATAGGAGTGTTCTAATGTAATGACTAAGATTAAAAGTGAATGTAAAGTGTGTGTTTGTCCCTATGAAGGTGTTTATGAAGTCAGTGAAGCCGGAGTGGGTGTTGGGGAACATCAAAGCGTATACCGAGGCTCTGAAACACTGAAGAGCAGTCTGAGCACAATGAGAAGGCCAGAGAGGCCTACAACCAGGGAGGGTTGAGGGCAGTGGAGGCTCGTCAGAGGAGGAAGGGGAGGACCATACAACATTTAAATAGTGAAACATCAATAAATATATAATTTATGGATAAAACTATACTAAATATATTCACGTCACCAAATACTTGATTAAAACAC